ACTTGAAGGCATAGTAGTAATAGTTGTTCTTGCTTTCTTTTTTGAAACATGAAAGAAGGTTTATAGTTGTGACTTGTGACATTACTGTAAGAAGATTTCTGAATAGTGAGTACATGATGGTAATTGGAGCTACCAAAAGCTGTATGCTAATTAAAGTTAGGTCAGAAAATCTTTTTGCGGAGTCGTTAAATCATCTTTCTGTAAATTTATTTTATTTTTGGATCATATATAGGTGGAGAAACATCTGGGACAAAGTTACACGGACAGTCTGGTAAACCTTCTAAGAAGCCTTCACAAAAGAAAGATGGTGGCCCCGTGATATCATCTGTAGCTACTTCTGAGACAAAAGGAGGTGACCGACCACTAGAGAAAGATCGCAAGAAAGATGTACCTGCTCCAAGGATGCAATTTGATGATAAGAATCGTGTTGAAAAAGCTAAGAAACGTGCAGTAGTTAAAAAGACTGAAGCTAGAAATAGGGTAGAACTGTTTCGGCATTTACCTCAGTATGAACAAGGAACTCAGCTACCTGATCTTGAATCAAGGTTTTTCCACCTTGACACTATGCATCCTGCAGTTTACAAGGTAACTTCCCCATGCGTCATGTCCCATTTTTGTTTATTTCTGCTTTGAAATGGGAACATTTCACAGAAGTAGTTGTCTAAGATACTAAGCTTGTCATGGAGGACTTTATTCAGCAAGTAACAAGGAGAGATGCACATTATCATCTTGCTTCGTGATATTGCATCTGTTGTCAGATGCACTAAGACTGTATTATCACCGGACTGCTGAGATCCCTGCTGTTTTGACTTTCACTATGCCTCAGTCCCAACCTAATTTGAGTCAGTATATGAATCCTCTATATTTATTTCGCTTTGAACCAGTTTCATTCTGTTACTCAATAATTTAAGTTTCTCAAACTCTAGATATCCCCTACAGTTTCTATGGACATACATATCTCTAAACAAACTAAAAAGAACTTTAGCAAACATTGAATGATTGATTGAACCTAATGGAAGTGTACTAGTATGAGAAAACCTTAAATCTCATAAATTGGTATCACCTAGATGGAGTTTTTGCTTTCTTTCCTTTTGATCTTTTCACTAAGTTTGTGTGAATTTCGGGAAATTATAAGTCTTTTGAGATAACTTCATTCGGTTCGTCCCATTTTAAACCCTCCAATCACTGTTGTACCTCACCTGCCGACGGATACATTTGGAGATCTAAGTAGTACATGGCTAAACCATATCAGATGATCTTCTCTCATTTTATCTTCTATATTGTCTTACTTTAGGAAGCAGATGCTCTAACTACTCAGCTACAGGCTCTTCCCCTAATTTTATCCTCTATAATTTTCTTACTTTAGGTTAATTTTATTTGCTTTATGATATCATTATACCCAATTTTTTTTAGTTAAAAATTTGAATACAACTACCAGTTGTAGTTTGTGATTAAATGTGGACTTAAAGCATTGTTAATTCTAGTATGACACTAAATGGCTTAGAAATGTCACATGTCTTGATGATTGTTTGCGAATTTCTTACCAGGTAGGACTGCAGTATTTGGCTGGGGATGTTGTTGGGGGAAATGGTCGCTGTGTTGCAATGCTGCAAGCATTTCAACAAGCCATCAGAGATTACTCTACACCTTGTGAAAAAGCTCTAGGTAGAGATTTAACAGCAAGGATCAATGGCTATGTTTCATTTTTTAACGAGTGTAGACCCCTTTCTATTAGCATGGGAAATGCAATTCGCTTTCTAAAAGCTCGTATAGCCAAGTTATCTTTAACTCTTTCTGAGTCAGAAGCAAAGGCTGCTCTTTACTCAGATATTGAGCGGTTCATTAATGAGAAGATAGTACTAGCTGACAGAGTAATAACAAGACAGGCAGTTACGAAGGTCAGAGATGGTGACGTTCTTCTCACATTTGGTTCTTCCTCTGTTGTTGAAATGATTCTGCTACATGCTTACGAGCTTGGGAAGCGATTCCGTGTAATAGTGGTAGATTCTCGCCCTAGACTTGAAGGCAAGGCACTACTTCGGAGACTGGTGAAGAAGGGCTTGTGTTGTACATACACTCATATAAATGCTGTTTCTTACATTATGCATGAAGTCACTAGAGTGTTCATGGGTGCTGCATCTGTATTATCTAATGGGACTGTGTACTCTAGAATTGGGACTGCATGTGTTGCTATGGTTGCTCATGCATTCCGTGTTCCTCTACTGATTTGTTGTGAAGCATATAAGTTTCACGAGAGAGTGCAGCTTGATTCTGTTTGTTCCAATGAGCTAGGTATGTCCTATTCATAGATTATATTTCCTGCCATATATTGCAATATTATCTGTGTGGCTATAGTGTCTATTCTCAATTGCAGGTGAACCAGATGCTATTTCCAAAGTTCCTGGTAGACTGGATGTCAATTTTTCGGATAACTGGACAAGTAATGATAATATTCAGCTTCTGAATCTGATGTGAGTGGTTTTCTTCTTTTAATTTTCTCTCACAAATTAAGGATAAATTATAGTTTCCTTTGATTTTATAAAGCTCTATCTGTCCGTAATGTCCTAATTTTGTTAAATGGAGTCTTTAGCATTGGGATTTCTTCAAATTGACTTACATGATGTTTAGATTAAGTAAAACTACAATCTGAAAGGTGGAAAAATGTTTATGGCAAATCATAACCAGTTAAGGGCACACTTGAATCTCTTTCATGTGCTCAGCAGAAAATGTTTATGGAAAATGTTTTGGATAGGAAGGGGCGGAGGTCGAGCATTAGGGTTGTAGGTTAGGAGGGAGTCGATTTTTTTTTTTTTTTTTTTTTTTTTTTTTTTTTTTTTTTGTTGTTGTTGTTCCGGGAGCGGGGCTGGCCTGTTGATGTTTCGCTGTGGGTTGTTAGTGGGTTATGTAGTTTCCTCACTATTTCCTATGGTAGTATTGCTGTTTATTGTTATTGCTTTTACATCTATTTTTCTATTTCTTACGATGTTGTTAATATTTTTTTTATCTTCTATTGTTGTCACTGATCTATTGTCTATTGTTTATTTTTCTTCTTCTCGAGCCGAGGGTCTTTCGGAAACAGCCTCTCTACCCCTCCGGGGTAGGGTTAAGGTCTGCGTACACTCTACCCTCCCCAAACCCTACTTGTGGAATTTTACTGGGTTGTTGTTGTTGTTGTTGGAGTCTTTAGCATTGGGGAGTTTGTTATGGTTTATCTACTTTCTTCACCATGTCCATTAGATACATTACAAGGGCATTGGGGTAGGAACAAAAAACTTCACATATATCTAGGAAAAGAAAAGTTTCATGACATCAAGAAAAGGATGAACCTTAGTTTTATGATGAAATGTGGAGTAGAAGTGCATAAAAACTTAAAATCCTCCGAAGCTACCTATTATTTACAAGAACAAACTGAATTGCCCTTGAGCTCCCTAGGAAAAAGTCATTTTCCACTACGCTGCTCCTTTCAAAATCACTGCCTCAACTCCTTAATAAGCTGTGACTTGCTTAAAGTTTCCGGACTAAAATGGTTACTTGAGAAATCGAATGTTGTCAACTAGAAGTGAGTCAGAAAACAAAGATACGTTGTAGTGCAAAATTTTAGGCTAGAAATCATAAATGTGAGTCCTAAGACACTACTCAAAAAGAAAGTCCGACTCCTAAGATGCTCTTCTGGTAATAAGATGTTGAAAACGTATTGACAAGTATAGAAGAAGTAACTTTTTCTCAGAGAAGTTTTTAGTCAACCCTTAAAGGAAATTAGACAAATAAGATTTTCTCATTCATCTAATACCTAATCCATGATTTTAATAGGTATGATGTTACTCCTTCAGACTATGTCTCAATGATCATCACAGATTATGGCATGGTAAGTGGATTTCACAATTTTGCTTGCAACCTTAGTTCTTTACATTTCATTACTGCAGTTTGAAATCTTTAGGAGTTGTATCCTTTTAACCCTACTCATTTCATGGTCTTTTGGTGTTTTTCAGATACCAACTACAAGTGTGCCTGTGATTGTGCGAGAGTATGGGAGAGAACACCTCCTGATATGAATTTAGCAATTGGATGTGGCAACGGCTACCAACTTACTGACAAATTTTTGCTGTCATATAATACCTTATAGGAAATGAATGCATTCATTAAAATCATTAACCTTACAGAAAAATATGAATGCATGCATTAATTTTCTTTTTGTGTTGGAGTTTATAGAAATTTACACAGGTCTCAGTAAGATCTTTTATTTAAAATATTATTTCTCTGACAAAAATTACTAGGTCATAGGTGTCGGGTGGCCCTTTGTTGGACTGATGTTTGTATATTTTACAGTACAAAATTTCTCACGGAAGATTCCGCTAAGATTTTGAGATTCTTGTGCAACTGTTTGTGCAGTTAGCTTCACAAGCAGACTAATATGCATATGACTAATACTTTCTTAGCTTACTTAATCTCGAGACACTTGGTTATGAAAAAATATTTTTGTTATCGTTGGTAGATGGAAAAAGAAAAAAAGAAGAGCTGATAGCATCGATCCCTTGCGAGAAAATTTCAAAGGCTTGACTAAAATGTCACTATTTCTGTATTCTTTTTTAGTTTGTGTCACATAAATAATACTGTAATTTTTCTATTTTTCCATCTTTTATTTGAATGTAGAGGTAGAAGAAAATGAAAAGAAATGGTTAAAAATAGTTCATAAAGAAAACAACACATACAAATTTAAATTTAAATAAATTTTGATTGTAATTTTTTTATAAAATAATAGTAAGTATTAATGTGTGTATCAAAGAAAGATCTGTCTCAAATTAAAACGGAGTAAGTTATGTTAGACATATCATTACTTGAAAAGTAAACTTTTCTGGATCCTACTTGCTTTAAAAAAAAAAAAAAAAAAAAAACTGTAATAGTATAGTACTTGATATCAGTATTAGCTAATTAATACTATATCAAGTATAAAATAATACTTGAATTGAGATATTAGTTATACTAGTAGTGACCCTGAAAATAGAAAAAGCCAAATACCAAGTTATATACTGGAACTTATTTTTTCCTAAATAGTTTCCACCAAACGGCCCTCAAGGGTTTAAGCCAGCAGAACAAGGGTTTAACGACAGAGAAAATTCACATTTCTGCAGAAAAATTGATATCAATGGCGTCTTCACTGTCGAGAAAGCTTTTACGCACGATGCTGACGAACCCTAGATCCATTAAAGCTTCGCAACTATCTTCTTTTTGCACAAAAATCTCTTCAGCTACAGAGGATTTCTCCTCTCCGGATTCTGACCGCGTTGAGTTGGAGTCCGCATCGGACGCCGAACCCGAATCAACTGGATTTTCATCACCTTCAGCTTCTGATTTTAATCAAGAACGCAAATTCGTTGAACGTCCCCTAGAGAATGGTCTAGAAGTTGGCATTTACAAGGTGAATTTTGATAAATAGAATTGAAATTCATAGATTAAGGCATTGGTTTGCGCGTTATCAGTCATTTTGGACTCTTAACCTAACTGTTTATGTATATATTAATTTTCATGTCTTTGTATGATATAATGTGCAAATGTACCGGTAAGAAGGTTTGTGCATACACCTATTGGGGTTTATATGCACGTATATTGTTGAACATTCACTTTGTAGTTACACGGCAGATTGTGATAAATGGAGATAAATTTACACTCTTTATGCATCTGTTAGTTGCAATTAATTGATTAAGAGATTGCTTTGGATAGCATGTACCAAAACAGACAGGATCCTATCTGTACATGCATGAACTTGTGTGTCCCCATAGACAAGGAGGTATAGCTTAGTCAAAAGGACCCCCCCCCCCCCCCCAATCATGAGATTGTGGATTCGAGACACCAAGGGAAGTGGGAAAAGACTGTTGGACACTGGGGGAGGGGAGTTTGGGGGTGATATTTACCAATCTTTGTGGCTCTAAATGTCAATGTCGGTTAAGATGGATTGGTTATGTCCTGAGTGGACTTCCAGATGCATCGGTTTGTAGGTGCAAAACCATGGTGAGTGAATGTGTTAAAAGGGGACGATGCGGACGTAGAATCACATGGAAGGAAGTTGTCTTAGAAAACCTACAATCTCTTAGAAAATTTGGGATTGAGGCATATTTGTAGGCATTTAATAGATTAAAACATTATTTTGCATACTCTGCTTCATACAGACACGATCCTGACTGTTCAAATGTAGTTTATGTGTCTATGTATGTTATGATATGTAAATGCACCAATAGAGTTTATGCATACATATTATGGTGTTTATATGCTTGTAATATTTTGATGATTGAGTGGGGATTTGTCTGTTTGTTTTTTGCTTTGGGGTTATGATCGGAATTATTTAGTATTGGAATGAAACAGATCCGAGTAGAGCGAATGGATATAGATGATTCATCTAACTAACCCCTAACTGTAATTGGGATTAGGACATGGTTGATTGATTGAATTGTGTTTGAATTAGCCGTGTGAAGATTATGGTTCGCCAGTTTTGACAGAGAAATTGGTACAACTGCAGTACCTACTTCCTATCCCACCAAATGCAAAAAGATAAGAGGCAAAAATCATAGTCATATTAGCTTCCCGTGAATATAAGTCGGTTTATGTTTTTTGTTGAATCTGAACAGGCAATCTTGGTTGGTCAAGTTGGCCAGACACCAATACAAAAGAAGTTGAAGAGTGGGAGGACCGTTACTCTGCTATCCCTTGGAACAGGTGGGATTCGGAACAACAGGAGGCCATTTGATAATGAAGAGCCAAGAGAATATGCCAATAGGTGTGCAGTTCAGTGGCACAGGGTCTCAGTCTATCCTGAGAGGTTGGGGGAAATGGCCATGAAGAGTATTGTTCCAGGGTATGCTTCCATTTTTCTTTCATCTCCTTACTTTTAAAGTTAAATATGGATCATGCGATTGCATATATTCTTGTAATTTCCTGTGTTCTCTAAGGGTTTTCTGTTTTTTTTTTGGCTTAAAATTGAACCTGATAGGGGTTGTGTTAATCTAGAGCTCACTTCTAATTCCTTTTTGTTGTGAAGTCATTATAAGCGCCTGCTTCATGGTTAAGCCTTGAATGAGAGATCAACAGAAAAAACCAATTGACCTATTCACTGCTTTTCATTTTTTCCCTAAATCATAAGAGTCCCAAAAAAAATGTCATACGTGAAATTCTACATCCCTGACAACTGGGTCAGTGTCATAAAATTACACAATATTTAAAAAAAATATATATATAAAACAATTGCTAGATTTTCAGCTGATTTTGAGGACCAACTTCCTCCCAGGAAAAGAAATAGACTGAATTTTGCCATCTGGTGAAAGTTTGGTGTGCATCTTTGACTGAATGCTTACTTTCTGTTGAATCTGTAGTTTCATACTTCTGCTTCCAGCTCTTGTCAAATGATGTGCTAATCTTCTGATAGTAGTTTGATGCACTGCACATTGTAGTTCAATCTTGTATGTGGAGGGTAACCTTGAATCAAAAATCTTCACTGATCCTATCACTGGTCTTGTGCGGCGCATACGAGAGGTTGCTGTACGAAGAAATGGTAATTTCAGCCCTATGGATAGCTTTTATTTTGTTTTTTCAGTATGCAATCATTTTGCCATCAGAAATGAGTAAGATTTCTAATGGCTATATACATGTTTCACCTTGACTTGAAATTGTAGAATGTAGATTTTCTTTGGACATACTAGGTGGAATATACGTATATACTGGATTCTAGTGTTAGGTTACCGTGCTTGTGTGGCCCTCTCTGCAACTGCTTCTTTTGAAGGCTGGGTCAGTTGCTGCAGTAACATTTCAGAGTCTGTAAATTGCACTATTAGTTGATCCCTTTTCTCCATCATCTATCATAACCACCCTTTTAAGTTTGCATTTTGAAGATGTCCCATAGAACTCAAGTTTATGAGCTTCGGGTGAAAGTAACCTAGGGGCTACACTTGAATTACAAGCCAATTTCGAAGGGCTTTAAAGCAAACCATGGATGCATATTGTATCGGCTTCTGAAACAACCTAGAATTCATTAATATGTTAGTGAAAAGTAAGTTATGCCCCTTGACAAATAAGGATTTGTTTCTGAAATCTCATGGTACCGCTAATGGTGGCGCTATCTCTATTCCCAAAGCATGTTGTGCTATAATTTTTACTGGAGAAAAGGTTTTTTGTTCTAAAGCATGGGTGGTATGGTATTCTATCCTTGCCTATAGTGATCATGCGTAAAACCATATCAGCGAATAGGTCCAGGAAACATGCAAACTTCAATAGAACTTGTTTCATTTGCCACGAAGAACCTTTATGAACCCTAATTCCCTGGCTCTTTGCAGGTCGTCTGGTTTCCCTTGGGAATGGGAATGAAGCCCAGCAGCCATCACAAGCAGAAATCAAAGGGGTTGGTTATTACTGAGTGGGCTTGTAATGAAAGTAATTGAATCTTTATGTAGAAGAATTGTATTTGAGTTGTTTTTTGTTTCTTTTCTCCTCACATTAATCCTAAGAGAGGTTAATTTCAAACCAGCCATCTGATGCTCACTATGTAAACTGAATCAGTGATCTAATAGTTCTGCACCTATAAGTTGTGTTCTGATAATTTTTTTCATCTGTCTGCTGGCTAAGTTATTCATATTAGCTTTGGGCTATTACACAAGTAGACTATTTAGTAATTTTCTCCACAAGTAGGCCCTTACTACATTTCCCTTGTAGCTCATTGGTTTGGTGTAAACACCAGGTGTAGATATGTGTTTAACTTCTTAAATGTTCCAGAAAAATGGTCTTCATATAGACGTTTTCTCTTTATACCTATCTAATATTATATTTTAGAAGGCAGTAGGTGCAAGTATATCTATGTCTTCTACTGGAACTCAATATAATCGAAAAAAAGTAGCCCGGTGCACAGAGCATGCTACGTTCAAGTACGGTCTAGGGAAGAGCATCCTACATTTGTAGTATAATCATTATTACAAATGCACTGTCCTTTAACTACTAAATGAAGCGTCACTAGCAGACAGAAACAAATATAACAAATTTAAAATCTCTTTTGAGTCCCACTTAGTATAGGTGATGGTGGATTTGTTGCATTTTCTATATATACCTGCCAGCTGTTAGGACCTCCTCGGATTTTCTTTTGTATTTTCTTTGTCCTCTTTCTCTATGTTTTCAGTTTCGGCAGCCGCGGAATCAATGTATATAGGTGTAATCGGGGTGGGATCACAAACCTTTAATAAATTAATATACCAATTAGATATCAATATATTGCACATACTATCATCAACGAGCATGATAGAATAGTTGAAATCGCTCTATCTTTAATCAGATATCTCGAGATGCCATGAAAATAGAAAATCTATCGATAACGAGCGTTTTATCCCGCCTCACTTAATGGATCTACTTAAAGTGCATCTGAATTAGTCAAATCCGTGAATGTTAGATATCTAATGCCTGCAACAAGGAAGATGGCACACACTGCAAAAAAGGATTTTTCAGTAGTTTATGAAGTTATCCTTAATAAGCATTTATTAGTTAAGTACAGCAGCAACCAATGCCTGGTACAAAAAAAATAAAAAAAAATGAATATTTTAATAATGATAAGAACATGATCAAAGAAAGACTTTGATTATTGTGAATGTAATCTTAACCTGATCTCTTCATTTGAATGTTGTACTCGACATGTGCCCCTACCTTATCTTTTTGCACTTTATATAAAAAAAAAACAAAGAATAAAGAAATGAATAACAAAGCCAAGAAACTAGGGGACTAATGATGGCTAATAGTTAAAATACAAAAATAAAATTAAAAAAAACCCTCTAGACAGGAGGCGGAACTAGACTTCAACCTTATGGGTTCTGTAATAAAACTATAACTTTAACGGCTTAATGACTGGATTCTAAATTTAATATTTGTACATTTTTAATGAATTTTCTCTCACAAAATACATTACTAAGCAAAAGCTACTGGGTTCGATCAAACTCATAACTCCGCTTCTTCTTCTTCTTATTCTGTCTCCGCCCCTGTTCTGGATGATGGCCAAACTAGCCTATTTTTTCTCATAATTAAGTTGGAATTGTATCATGCATCACCAGCCCCTTTCTTATTTTTCCTTTTTGGCGTTTAACCTTCTCTAATAAGCTCTTTAACAAGCTCTTTAAAGCATTATCTTATTTCTCAAATTTTTTATTTATTTATTGTATTCTTTCAAGATCCTATTTCTGGAATTTAAATATTTACAATAATGAAAGAGTGAATATCTCGAAACCTTCTTAAACTATCATGTTCTTATCAATTATATACTTAAACTATCACGTGTTCCCAAAACCCTCCTTAACTATATACCCCTATATATTAAAAAACCCTCGTCGAATTTTTAGTGGTGCGAGTGGTACACCCTTCTATTTACTCAGCCAAATTTAAATACCAATTTAATTAAGAATTTTAACTAATAATAAAAATAATTAAATGGGTAAATGTTTGGGGGTTAAAATCAAAGAAAGAGAGTGGAGGGAAACACATGGTTATTTGTTTAAAAAAAAAAAAAAAAATCTTCCATCTCCTCCATAATGGCTACACCATGTCTCAATCATAAATTTCCCCATTAAACATTGGATTTTCCATTAACTTTCGTTTTCACTGGGAATTTTAGTTTAATACAAGGATTGGGATAATAAAAAATTAGGGTTTGGTAAAGATTATGGGCTTTTGGTGGACTAAATAGTGTTGAAAGAAGAAGACCTAAATGAAAAAAAAAAAATTTAGAAGAAATAAGAGAAAGATTTTTTTTCAAATGAAACCCATAAGAAGAAAGGAAGAAGAAAGATTTAAAAAAAAGGAGGAAGAAGGTAGAATAAAAAGAAAATAGAAAGAATAATTTTTTTTTAAAGAGGGTAATAGTAATTAACCATTAGATACAGTCAATTGGAGCCATTTTAGTATAATTTCATCTCACACGCGCCTTCTGGCGAGTTAACTTTACATATTTCATTAAAAAATTGACGAAGGATTTTTTAATATATAGGGAAAACAGTTAAAGGGGATTTTGGGATACCGGATAATTTAAATTTATAACTGACAAAAATATAATAGTTTAAGAGGGTTTTAGCGTATTCATTAATGAAAAGATAAAACTAAATTTTGCAGCACATCACCTGTGGCAAGAAAATTTGATTTTACTTTTGAGGATTTGTATGATTAAAAATAACGCAGTTCATTTTATTGGTATTCTCATGTTACTTCGATTTAATCCACACCAAAGATACGCACCATTATCAATGATTGAAACATTTATTCCCTTTGTATGAGATGCAGAAATTTCACATAATAGGAGTACTACATTAAGCAAGTTGCTAGGAAAAGAAACTAAAGCTTTAAACTTTGTTAAAAAGCAGTCAAGAAAAGAAGAAAAGCATCAAACATTAGCTGATTGGGAGTTTCAATGATGACCATGGTTCAATTTCCCACAAGAGGACAAACATAGGACCCCTATTACACATTTTCCACATAGACATAAAATCTAGAGTAAGATTTAGATGTTATTCTCACCTGTTCAGAAGCAACTGAAGTCATCAAATAATTTTTCTAACGACCATAGAAAGCAGACATGAGCAGTATGCTAAAGACTCCTTCCGTTTAAATTTACTTGTCCACTATATTAAAAATGAACCGAGAGTCTATCGGAAAAAATCACTCTACCTTGATAAGGTAGTGGTATGGTCTACGTACGCACTACCCTCCCCAGACCCCACTTATGAGATTACGTTGGGTTTTTTGTTGTTGTTGTTGTTGTTGTTGTTGTTGTTGTTGTTGTTATACTACACTAAAAATAGATGTCCACTTTTACTTATCAGTTTAAAAAAATCAATAGATAATTTATCATCTTATACTTATTTTACCCTTATCATTTTGGATTAATAATAGTTAAGTTAGTTTTCTAGTAATAATAATTATGGATGATATAGTAAAATTATTGTTTACTTCGAAAATATGAGTAACAATTAAATTTGATTTATGGTTTTAAAGATATGTAATTTAGTTCAATACTAATTAATAACCAAGAAAACTAGCGTGTAAATGAAAGAAACAAGTAGAATCAAACCAGCGTGCGAGACAGTCTCGACCTCGAGCTAAGGTGGCCTCGAGGTTGGTTAAGAACAATAAAGCAAGAACAATTAAGTAAAGAGATGATTCTGACGGAATATGAGCCAAAAAGTAAGAGAGTATATTCTTTGCCAAATGATTAATCATCATTTACAAATGATTGGGGTCCCCCTTTATGTAATAGGGGAACCCTAAATAAGGTACATTTCTATTTACAGTAAAGAATCTTACTAGGACAACCGTCTAATCGCCTAGTACGGATTCGTACAAATCTATTCCGGGATTTACGCCACGATCTTGGGGACGTGGCAGGAATCTTACTCATTCTGTTACAAATCCATAACGGCATTATCTCGAGGCTGGTCATGTTAGACTCAGATGTTCCTCGAACACTTAGTTCTTCGAGCCTCGTACTTCGTCCTCAGGCTCGAACTCGGTCCACAGTGAGTCTATTCCTCGACGCGAGCCTTCTGTTCCTCGATATGAACCTTCGAGCCCACAAAATCGGGGGCACCTGATTTCACCGTATACAGATAGTCCCCGCATTTCTTAGAGTAAAATGATAAGAAACGATTTGAACCTCGATTTTCCGGAGTCTCTGATGATGACGCCATTCCCGTGACGTAGGCGCTCGAAGTGACCGAAACGTCCCGTCGGTTCGCTTCCCCAAAACATTAAATGCTTGCCAGTAATGGTTGGCCACTAGTGCCACCGAACCGTCGCCGCTTATCTATAAATACGGGACTCCCTTTTTGAATTAAGAACTTTACTTCTTCATTGCATTCTCTCTGATCCCTTCTTCTCTTCATCTCTTTCTCTCACCACATGCTTCCGCCGCCCTTTAAGTGCCGGAAAACGCCAAGCTCCGCCACCTTCCGCATCTTTTAACTTAAAATAATGGAAAAAACCTCAAAAATAGTTCCTCGAAAAGAGAAGGCTTCTTCTTCCTCTTCCCGGCCGGCCAAACTTGTGGCGCCGGCCCTTCACGAGATCATTCCCGGCCCCTGTGTGATAAAGAAAGATTTCAACGTTGAAAATCCCCCCAATATCCCAGGCCGATGCGAACACGTATCTCAATACATTAGTTCGATATTGAAGAAGCATCTCAAGGCCATGAAGAAGGACTGTGGCTAGGGAGACGAGGTCATGGTACAGATCCCCAACCCCGAGGAGGGCATCACCACTCGCGTGGAGGGATTCTTAAGTGTTTACATTTACCCCTTCACACTGGGTCCCCTTGATCAGTAGTGATTGACTTTTGAAAAAGGTACGAGGTTACTCTCGGACAGATCCATCCCTCCTTTTGGCGCATCATGATTATGGAGCGCTATTTCTCCAGCAAGGCCGAGGGATTAGAGTTTACCCTCAACCATCTCATTCGGCTGTATCGGCCTCAGCTGTTTCGAGGTCTGATCAAGCTTCAACATCGATAAAAAAAAGCTTTCTTTGCTAGTAACGACGAGGATAAAGACCGAGGCTGGATGAGCCGGTTCGTCAGAGTGAGGACCTCGGAC